GTGAACAGTTTTCAGAATCAGCAAAATTTGCCCCCCCCCCCCCAAAAAAAAACAGTAGTAGTGTATGCTCCATGCGTTATACACCGTTTTGTGATTGGGGAGTATAACACCCTTTGAAATTGTGTTTAATATCTGAAGACAAGGCCAGCAGATCACGCCACACAGTGTCAAGTTTGTCCGGATAACCTATTTTTGTTCATAACCGCTATGGGGTATTTTTTAAAAAGCGCCCTCTTCAAATTTGTAAAGTGGCAAATTCAGCTCATCTGGGAAATGTAACTGGAAACTGAGGTGATTAGATAAAGGTTGATTTTCTAAATTGTCTTTTAATTTTGTATTTATGGTTGCCTTCTATTTACCAGAAATAGCATCATGTAAAACATTCAAACAAAGGTCAAATATGCGTCTGGAGTGTATATTGATTTTATTAACAAAAAATGCGATAAGAAGCCAGGTGTTATTTTCAAAGTCAAAAAGGCAACGTACACTCAAAACGGCCCATTGCGCACTGGATGACAAATATGGGGGTTGATAAACAATGGTTCAGCAAGAATGTCGGTAACATTTGAGTCATTCAAAGTAAGCTTCTTGTCACGTGATTTCCAACAGCGTAGCAAGCCAGAGTGAAATGCAGGAAGTTGATGAAATGCAGCGTGTAGTGCATAATAAGTGTTTGTATTACGATAAATTACCAGCTAGATTGAAAAATCAGTGATTTTAAAACAAGGATGTTCATAATCGGAGTATAAATAACACTGCGCGCACTCAAGGCACATACTTTCAATGTGGGGTGGTAAGTGTGTGTGTGTGTGTGTGTGTGACATTTTACCCACCACTTCCTATGTATGGGCAAATACAAAGTTTCCGCCTGCACCCAATGTCGGCCAGTTTACAAAAGACATATGGAGTGAGAAGACAATATCAGGGGGAGGGGACAAACTGTAGAAGCGACAAAATAACTGTGACGAAAGCAATTTGTACGACATTGCAGGAGCAAATCGTGCGCAAAACTCTATTTTGTTTTCAACTGTTTGCTTTATTTTCGTCCATAGATGTTTTAGTGTTACCCACAGTCCTTTCAATATGTGCAAGTTAATTTTAGAATTTGTTGCACTTTCGTGGAATTTTAGCCATCTTCTAGTTTATTGAAATCTTGTTTTGATCCCGTCTGATCAAGTAAATGCTCAATTATAGCAATTACATACAACAGTGTTGATAGAGAGCATTCCTGACGAATGCCTCGAGATAGTATGAAAGGTGATGTGAGGGCGCTGTTTACTGTGACAAAGGCTGACAATTTTTATACAACAGACTGATATATTGAATAAAATGTTGACCAAACCCAATTGCATGGAGAGTTATAAACATGTAGAAGTGATTGATTCCGTCAGAGGCCTTTTCCTGATGAATGAATGTGACGGTTTACTGCAGCTCTGTTCAGGAGAGAAAGAGTTTTAGTGAATTTAGTGAATTAGCCAATGTTTTAGGTCGGTTGTATTTCCTTTCTTAGGCAGGACTTGTGCGAGCACGTGGAAAAGCCCCATCATTAAATGCACTGACAAAAACATCGCACAGATCACTACCAATTATATTCCAGAATTTCTGGTAAACTTCATAAGGAGGGCCATCAATGCCTGGTATCCTCACTGTGGCAAGCGCTTAAACCGTTCTAGTGAGTTTGTCAAAAGTGATGACGTCATCTAAATGGGGAAAATCAGTGACGAAATCCTTCCAGAACACTTTGAGAGTTGTCACCTGTAATATCGGGAGTGTAAATGGGTTTTGTAAATGTTGCGAGCAATAGTCATTACTTCATCGCGATTTTCGGTGACAGCACTGCGATCTATGTTCGGTTCTGTAGTGCAA